TGTGTGTGTGTGTGTGTGTGTGTGTGTGTGTGTGTGTGTGTGTGTGTATGTTGCCATAACTTCCACATGGCATGTCTATATCTTGTGCCTTACCTCTCCAGAATAAGGAAGGGGAAAAAGTCTAAGTCAGAGGTTCTCAACCTTCCTAATACTGCCACCCTTTAATACAGCTCATGTTGTGGTGACTCCCAACCATAAATTTTTTTTTCTTGCCGCTTCCTACTGTAATTGTGCTGCTGTTATCAATCATAATGTTAATATCTGATATGCTGGCTAGCTGAGACTTGACCAAGACTGAGAACTGCTGCTCTAGATGACTGAGAGAACAGCGAATGTGAGCTTGTGTGCAACATGAGGTTACAATCATACAAGGACACAACGCACTTACTGCCAGCCATGCATCCAGAATGGTGCACAGCATCCTTTATAACAACTTGGCAACAGTCTCAAGGCTCAGGCTTCACGCACATTTATTTCCCTTCCTCCCAGCTCATCTACACACCTGCAGATAAAATTATGGGCACTTCTCACTAGGTGCTCACTGTGTGATGGGCACTGCTATAAATGCTTTCACTCAATTATCTTGTTTGAAATACCTTTCTCATTATGAACACGGTGATAGAGACTATTATGGAGGAGCCAAGTAAAAAACAGGTTTCCTACAAATCTGTCTCAGTTTGGAATCCCATGAAACTAAAAAGCTTCTGTACAGCAAAGGACATTGAACTATGTGAAGAGGCAGCTACAGAATGAGAGAAAATATGTAACAGCTTAGTCATCTGACAGAGAATATACAAAGAAAAACTAAAAAAACTAAACAGAAAAACTAAACAGTAAGAAAATACTAGCCCAAACACTGGCGGAGATTATCAGAATGGCTGAGGAGAAAGAGGACTGCTCAAACACTTGCACCTCTCTGTTCTTCCTACTCTGAAGCCAGCCTTTCTGTGATATGAGGTGAGCTAATTATAATGTATTATTTTCTATTCTTCAAGATATTTCATACCTATACAAAGAAAGCTGGGCATTGTGGCCTACACCTATAAGCCCAGTACTCTGAAGGCTGAGCAGAAGGATCACTACTCAAAAACAGCCTAGGCTATTTAACAGGAACAGTGGTCAGATATGGTATGCACACCTTTAGTCCCCACACTCAGAGGTAGAGGTGGAGGCAGAGGCAGAAGAAGAGGCTGGCAGAGTATGAGGCCAGCCTGTCCTCAGAGTGAGTTCTAAGACAACCAAGGCTATCCAGTAAGATCCTATCTCAAAACAAACAACAAAAACCAGAACAGAGCAAAACAAACTGTAAATAGGCAAATGCATGTGCTTGCCTTACCCCGTTTTAACACAAAAAGTAGATATTAAATACACTGCTCAAACCCTTTAAATTGTTTTCACAATGTATCTCAGAGATCGTATCAGTACATGAGTTTTCTGAATGCTCTCCATAATTATTTTAAAAATTTCAGTCTCTTGATTTTTCTCTAAAGTCCAAACCTGTCTCTCAGTGTTCATACTAACAAAAGAACGCATGTCTTTGATCCCAGCACTTGGGAACACTTGCAGCAGCAGGTGGATCTCTGCGTTCAAGGCCAACGTGGTCTACAGAGTGAGTTCCAGGCCAGCCAGGGCTACACAGAGAAACTCTGCCTCAAAAAAACAAAACAAAACAAAACAACAACAACCTTTTAAATAAATAATCACCCACAGTTGTCTAAGAGTTTACTTAATATATAAAGCAAAGTGATTGGAGCCTTTTAAAAGCACAGAGACTGAGCCTTTCAGAGCCTGAGCACTCGAAGGACAGAGGAGGGCAGGACAAGGTGCTGCTGTTCTGCACTCTCCCGACTCTCAGACCTCATGCTAAGGCGAGGCTAGCATGCACTTCCTCTACATGAAAAGGTAAAAGCCCCCTGTAAGCACACAAACACACAGTATGCTGCAGTCACTGAGACCTACGCAACACTTATAGATGTCAGACACCACACTCACCCCCAAGTGTCACAGTCACCGCCAGAAGCAGGCCAGAGTGTGCGCCAGAGGGCACACACACATTTACAGAACATTTCTCTAGTTCTTACTTTGCAACAGTGTGAGAAGATCTGGCAGATATACTCCTGGGTGTAGCGGGACCTGCTCAGCAGCGCCATGAGGTGTGGTATCACCGTGGCATCCTGGATGGAAGGGAAGGAGCCGACAGCAACAAGAAACTTAGGCCTTAAGCATGCATGTGATAGTCTTTCTACAAGCAAGTACACAGCAAAGTTTCTTTCTTTTTTTTTTTTTTTTTTTTGAGACAGGGTTTCTCTGTGTAGCCTTGGCTGTCCTGGACTCCCTTTATAGACCAGGCTGGCCTCGAACTCATAGAGATCTGCCTGTCTCTGCCTCCTCCCAGAGGGCTGGGATTACTGGCGTGTGCCACCACACCCAGCTAAAGCTTATCTTAATGGTATTAACTCAAGTCTCTTTAAGGAACAGCAAAATAAAAGCACCATGGCCATCAGAACTGTTCAAGCATAGTATATGGAAAGATGTTTTCATAGTCATTCTTGAAAATAAAATATAAGAGAAGGAACTTAATTTCTTATAAGTAACCAAGGTTTCTCACTATAAAACAGCAGCATGGCAGAGGGTAGAAAAAAATCAATTCTGAAATCAAAATGTGATGGGGTGACTTATTAACACAGAAAAGAAATACTGTATAAAACAAATCTGACAGTTTGGATCTTGGGATGTTATAGTAGGCACCAGTAGCAGCTATAATGATGAGTTAGCTGTTTTCAATATACCCAAGACAGGACATTTCACAGATTAATAACTTCTCACATAAAGCCCACCACTGGGCTGGAGAGGCGGCTCTGTGGGTAAAGTGCCTGCTACGCAAGCAGCCATCTTAAGCACAAGACTGAGGAGTTCAGATTCCAGGACCCACAGAAAAGCCAGGTAAGCATGGCAGCCCGCCAACGATCCCAACGCCAGGAAACAGAGAGGGTGGTCTCCAAAACAGGCCAGCGGGCTAGACTAGCTCAATCCATGGGCTCTGGGTTCAATATACAAGTTGGACAGCAACTGAGGAAGACACCCAATGTCAAGTTCTGTCCTCAGACGTGTAAAGGCACCAATGTGCACACGTGCGCACACACAGTCAAGCACACCGCTCACAAACACACACACACACACACAGAGAAATATTTTATAGCCCATTATCTTGCCAACATGGTGGCAAAAAAAAAAAAAAAAAGAGAGAGAGAGAGAACCCTGCTGCCAGGTTTTCCAAGATCTCCTTTTATTTGTAATGCAAGAACAACTACAAACTGAAACAGACATTTTAGATTGAACCAGACAAAAAAGAAAACTTGGCTCAAGCTTCCCAGTAAAAGTGGGCTACAGTCCAGAGCCATGCATACGTACACATGTGCACACACGTTTCCAAAGGATCTGAGTCTGCAAGCCTGGGGAGGACCTGTGAGACCGAAACCTAACTAATTTCCCAAAGAACCCATGCTGGTCTGCAGACAAAAGCAGAAGGTGAGGAAGAAAGGACGCCAGAGACACATAGAGCTATGCAGGAAAACAGAAGCTGTTAATTCCCTGAAAGCGGAATCTCTGCCCCTTGCCTGCGTGTTAGTATGACTCTCTGTAGTGAAAAACAAAATGAAAAATGTAAATCCTCAAAACAACCAGGAAAGTCCAAAAGGTTAAGAGCAAGTAGAGGTTAGTCTGACCAGGTTCCAAGACTGTTCACTTCTAAGCTGCTCCCTCCTTTTTTCTCCACTGCTCTCTGATTCACCAATGTTTTCCAACAACCCCCAATCCATTTCCTCATGTGTGTTTCTGTCAATTGATTTCTGTATCTGTAGTTCACACACGATAAAGAGAACAAGGAAGTTACATAACTGCCCTCAATTACCTGTCAGACAAGTAGGACTCCAAATAGAAAGCCCCCCTTACTCACTGTGCTGTCTGTATTTAGTGTCTGAGTAGCTTCCAACAGCCAGCCTCTACCCAGTCCAGTCAGCTAGGTACACTGAACAGTTCTGAGGCTTCCGAACCCCACCCCACTGCCGTCCTGACAGCTAATACTTTACTGTCTCTATGATATAAAATTGCCAAGGCATAAAACTGAAATGTTTCATAATTTAGAAAAACATACTCCCTTAATTTATATAATCAACCCACAGAAATAAGCCTTTAAAAACAGCTTGTAAGTTCTCAAAATGTGTAACTATCACTCACTTATTTTCAAAGCCTAGAACATTTAACATTCCAAGTAAACAGAAAGTCAACTGCTTGGTGAGATTTCCACATCTAACATTTAGGGTGAAGTAGCAAGTTAGAAATACACTGAGAATTTAACTATGACACACACCCCACATCCCCCAAACTCACTGTATACAACAGCTCCTCTGGAGTGACAGGGCTGGTGAAGATTGTCCGTAGACATCGGAGGCAAGCTTCAATGAACTTTAGGTCTGGGGACAGTAGTCCTAGGAAGAGAAACACGTGTGAGGCACATTTCTTTGTTGTTTGTTTGGGTTTTGTTTTATTTTTTTGAGACAGGGTTTCTCAGTGTAGCCTTAGCTATCCTGGAACTCATTCTGTAGACCAGGCTGGCCTCAAACGTACAAAGTTCCTCCTGCCTCTGCCTCCCAAGTGCTGGGATTAAAGGCATGTGCCACCACTTCCCAGCATGAGACAATCTTTCAACCAGAATTTACAACACTGTAAAAAGAATATGTAAAAACTGCTTCCCTACATACCTTGTAGTAAGGCAGGGATAATATGGCAGTCTAGTAGAGACTTAACATTGTTTTCTGTGCCCATTGCAAGACTCCCTAACACCACTGCACATTCAGTTTTCAGCTCTGTGCTTGAGGTTTCTTGTTGAAGCAAATACAACAATCTAAAAAATAAAGGGGGCTTGGTAAACAGACTGTAAAACAAAAAGTCGTCAATAATCTAAAAGAACAGTGTAATAAAGGCAATGTGGGAATTATATCCCACAAAATAAAAATATGGTTGACACAATCAAAAGGCAGAGTTGTAGAACACACTCCCAACTGAGAGACAAAAATCTAACAGATTGTCTTATTCTGTACAAATAAATATCTCCGTTTACCCGAACTATAAATCTGAAAGTTGCACACAAACGGTCTCTGTAGAAACAGCACCATCCCCCATGTCATCCCTTCAGGAGCTGAAGACTCCAATGCCAAGTTCTATTGAATCTTAAATGCAAAGTAGAAATGGACCTTGAATTCAGAGTAGTAGAACTAAGAGGGCCTCTTACTGATTTTCTTAATGAAAATGTTCCGAGTTCTTGTGAAGTGCTCTGTGAATAAAAAGTTTTCTCTTCGTTCTATCGTCCCATGCCAGCTTGAGCCAGCTTTGCCAAAGAATTAATCCCAAGTCCTCAACCTCTACCACTTAGGGCCATGTATCCCGTGAGCCCCGATGTCCCTGAAACACACGCATGCGCACACACACAAGCACATATAAACACACACACACACATTTATGTGTGAACATGTCCTTAGAAATGGTTACTGTACTTTAAGGCATTTATTTTAAAATTTTATTTAAAAAAAAAAAAGCAAGAATGATAAGTGCGGGGATTCTTATATTTGAAGAAGGACATTAGAAACTTGGCAGGACTGGCAAAAAATAAGTTAGATAGCAAACATACCTTGGGACAGCTCCTAAAACGATGAGGTTGGCTTTCTGTTTATTGTTTCCAATTACAGCATTTTTCATGTCTCTGAATTCAGGGGAAGAAAAAAAAAAAAAAAACGTGTTTAGACACTGTAGGGAAATAGCAAAGACCAACTGATTCCACTTTATCATGCAATAAACCAAGTACAGAAATAAGTTACAAATCCCAAGCCCACGCTAGCCAGCCAGAGTGCTGAAGAGAGGGACATGTGCTAACTGGCTGTGGAACTGTACAACAGCAAGCAAAAGTCTTGAGTAATGGCTAAAACTTCCACTAAAAACAAGCTGGATTCCTCTAACACAGGCAACAATCCTTTGAATAAAATGGAGTATATTAGGCCACTTTAAACACAACTCTGGGAATGGATGACAAACAAAGAGCTAGTTAGAACATACCTGACTCTGCAGCAAGCACCACTATGTTCTACTTCCCGTCTGACCTTAGAACCATTAATTCTCTATTAGCACTCAGCAACATTTCTGGGGATTCACATTCATTCTCATATATTCCCATATATCCATTCATATTTACTCTTCCATGTGTTTGTGTATGTACGCGCATGCATGTGTTTGCTTCAGGAAACAGGAAGATATTAGAACGAGGAAGATGGTCTTAAGTGGTAGAGCGCAAGGATCTGGGGAATAATTATTTGATCCTAATGTTTTAATGTGGCATTTTCCCTCCTCCTCTAACTCCTCCTCCACTTCCTCCTGTTCCTTCTTCTTTGAGTGTGTGTGTGTGTGCGAGTGTGCATGTGTGTGTTTGTGTATTCGTGTGTGCATGAGTACAGGTGCCTACAGAGGCCAGAAGGTGTCCAATCTCCTGGATTGGGTGTTACAAGTAGCTGTGATCCTCCCAACATGGGTGCTGGGCATCACACTCAGGTCCTCTGGAAAAGCAGCGAGCACTCTTAATCACTCCCATCTATTTCTCCAGCCTCTGAACATTTCTTATGGTTCTACTTTATCTGTTTGATTTTCTTATTAGCTGTACCCCTTTGGGGTTTGATTGTTTTTTAATGGCTTCCTTAAAATTTCAATGCAGTATTTAATTTCTTACACTTAGTTTTCATATGCTATCCCAGTTATCATCAGAATAGACTGTGAATACAGTTCCATGCTGTTCTTTCTGTGTACTGTTAGAGCAAATATATCATCTTTTGATTTAAAGCAAATGGCATGGGAAGGGGAGGGATCGGGCAGTGGAGGGTATGGCAGACAGAGAGTACTGGGAGAGACAACTGGAATGGGGAGGGAGGCATCTCTGGGATGAGCTAGATACCTAGGGCAATGGAAACACCCAGGAATCTATGGATCACCCTATCTAAGACTCCTAGCCATGGGGGGATATGGAGCCTGAACTGGCCATCTCCTATAACCAGGCAAGACTTCCAATAGAGGGAGTAGGACACCAACCCAGCCACAAACCTTTGATCTACAATTTGTCTTGCCTACAAGATGTGCTGGAGTAAAGATGGAGCAGAAATTGAGAGAATGGCCAACCAATGACTGGTCCAGCTTGAGACCCACGCCATATGGAGGAGCCCAACCACTGACACTGCTAATGATATTCAGCTATACCTGCAGACAGGAGGCTAGCATAACAGTTATCAGAGAGGCTTCACCCAACAACTAATGGAAACAGATGCTGACACCCACAGCCAAACATTAGGCAGAGCTTGGGGAATCTGGTGGATGAGGGGGAGGATGGATTATAGGAGCCAGAGGGGTCAAAGACAGCACAAGAAAACCTACAGAATCAACCACCCAAGCCCACAGGGGCTCACAGAGACTGAATCGCCAACCAGGGAGCATGCATGGGACTGACTAGGCCCTTTGCACATATGTAGTAACAGCTGTGTAGCTGGGTCTACATGTGGGACTTCGAACAGTGGGAACAGGAGCTGCCTCTGACTACACTGCCTGCCTTTGAGACCGCTTCTAGCCTCAATAGGAGACAATGTATCCAGTCTTACTACAAGATATGCCAGGGCTAGTTGATATCTATGGGAGGTCCCCACTTTTCTGAAAAGAAAGGAAGAGTGGATGAGTGCACCTCTGTGGGGTGCAGAGTAAAGACTGGAAGGAGAGATGTAAAGTTAATTAATTAATTAATTAAAAAAGAAAAATGGTATTTTCCCATAGTGTTTGTATCACATAAATAAAAGTTTGTTTTTGGTTTTGATTTTTAAGTAAAAGTTAAACATTGTGGAAACTGAGAACCAGTTCAGCACACTCACTGTATCTGAGTCATCAGCACCACACAGCTGTCTCAGGACACCCTGGCAGCTCTCGAAACCAGCTACCTCAGGGGCTTCTCCTGTAGCCAGACCTGAGCATCTACATATTAGAGCACTATAAATCTTATGTGAACTCTAAAAAGGGAAGGCATTACTTTCTTGTCTGCAGTAACTATTTTGAGTAGGTGTTGTTACTTTGAACCGCAACCTTGCAGGAGAGTGTAATGATGTCACCAAATAATAATGGGAAATTAGGTCAGGGAGTGTTAAGACCACTGTCAGGTGGCACTCAGATTCGGCTCATCCTTTTTTTTTTTTTTTTTTTTTTTTAATCCCAAAATATACCCCCCTAAAAACTTTTGCTTCTTCCTGTTTTAGGTAACAGAGGTTTATAACGTATAAGAACATTTTTCAATCTTGAAAGTTACAATCCTAGAAAAAAAATTATGGAGCTGGCAAAACATTATCCAGTAGAAAAATGGGGTGTGTGTGAAAGTTAAAAACAAACAAACAAACAAACAAACAAACACCCAACTCAACAAATGAGTACATATTTCCAACCCCAAGCACATTTACTGGCAAGGAGAATAGCTCTATGACAGAGAGCTTGCCTTAGATGCTCAAGACCCTGGGTTTAAACCTCAGCACCTAATTAAGATACACAAAAAGCATTTACTAAGCATCTTCTATAATTATCTTCTTCAGTATCACAGGGGGATCCTCATGTGTTTAAGAGATGTGCTGAAAGCTGATGTCACCACACATTTCGGAATGGTATTTTTATGTAGAGGCAAACACTGGAACTTCAGGCTTTTCCATTAGCTCAATATCTGAGGGTAAGTCTTTCAAAGACTGATCTAATCCTCTGTAAACTTTCCCTCAGATCCTCTGGATGGTTTAAAACAGGTAACTACCTATTCATTATGAGCTTATTAGGCTGAATGGGATTTATTAAGTTTTTTTTTTCTTTTTAACCAAGTTCTAATATACAATTCTACAACAGTAAAATACCAAGACCTCAGTAAAGAGCAGTTAGTGAGAGACTGCACATCTTGGCTCCTACTTCCTACTTAAGCCTACTGTTTTCTCTTAGTGACAGCTCTGAGCCCCTGCCATTCTAGCCTAGCAGCTGGTGGTGCGCTTTCATCACCTCCCATCCTTAGTGTCCTCTACCTGCCTGTGCTAAGCGCAGCACACCTGCACCATCCTAGGCAGCTGCTGCGCCTCCTCATGCCAGGTGCTACAGAATCCTCAATCCTGTTCCTCATCTCCCGTCACCCTTCCAAACTAAGCAAAAATTGATGGTCTATCCCTACAATACTTTGTGAACCCATTCCAAATATCTGAAAGTAGTGTGTCACAGACAAAAGACACAGATGCATATGCGCGCGCGTGTACACACACACACACACACACACTGACAAAACCAATTTTCTAATTCTCTTATAGTTTGTATCAATGTCTAAGAATAAAAGATTGTTTGCTTTGGCTCCAGTAAGTAAATATACCCATGTTAGACAGGCATGTTAAAAACCAGCAAATTAAATAGGTTAAATATATTCAGTTGTTAATTTAATGACCTAGCAAGTCATTTTCATGAAACTGTTAAAACAAAAAGAGATGACAGTCACCCCATTTAAGGATAGTAGAATCTGTCAGTCTACCTGTTATCAACTACTCATCTCTTTCCTCAATCTTCTGTTCTAAGACTGATGTCAATTTCACTCCACACAGGGTGACCTGGCAGCTCCAGGTTTAGGTAGGGGTCCCTCTGGAAGCCTATAACTGGAGCACAGTCATCACTTTCTTAGGACATAAGTCCATTCTCTTTACAGGCAAGAATGTAAGTCTGACCTGTCACTATATGGATTACAACTTATAATTCTTTAAAATGTACCCCAGAGAAACAAGTTTACAAAAGTCAAACCCAGTGAAGACATCAGTATAACAAAATTGTGCCATCCAGCCATCCATCTTTAAAGTTTACATAGTACTTCATACCTACTACTCTATTTCATCTTCATGGCAGCTTTGGGTAAGATTAACCACGTTTCACAGAGGAGAAAGCTACAGCTCGGGTTTGTGTGTTTGCTTGTTTTTGAGAACTAACTCCCAAATTAAATGGCAGATCTAAGTATGTCACCAGGTTAAAGTTTACACTTGTGTTCCAGCACTGAAGAGGATCATGAGTTTAAGATCAGCCTAGACTACATAGTGAGTTCCAGATGGACTACTCAGGGAGACCCTGTTTCAATAAAATCAAAAATAAAACAAAGCAAAACAAAAGAACCAATTCATGTCTTCTATGACAGATTTTTTCCATTTCCTTCTACACATGAGGCCTTAATAGCAACATGATAAGAAAGAAAAAATAAATTTGGTATCTTTCTTTTTTATTTTTTCTATGTCTGTATACAAAATAAAAGCATTTCTAATTTTTAGTTAGACAACCTTTTCCCAGGAGATCAAAAAACAAAAATAAAAACAAAACAAACAACCAAAGAAAAAAACACACACACAGTCTCGACTATCTATCGTGTTTATTATGGCAGTGGAGAAGGGGGATATGCATGATTTATGTTCTTCTGAAAGTCCACAGTTACTTCTTGAGCTCAGCACTGTACGAGGTGTTACAAAGACTGTAAAACATCACATAACTGGACACCTAGTCTAAAGAGTTACAATCTACTGAAGAGACAAAATATTATTAACAGTGTAAGGCCAGCCAAATTATAAGTTCAGTATTTATAGTGAAAGTTTTAAAATGTAGATGATAAACTTCAAAAAATTTTGAGGCAATGGGGGG